AATCTCCATCCAGAAAGGCAAAGAGGATGGACATCAGAGGAGCGAGAAAACAGGGAACAGGACAGGACCTACCACAGAGGCCCTCTGAAAGGCTCTACCCTGCAGGGTATCGAGGCAGATGCTGAGACTCATAGCCAAACTTTGGGCAGAGTGCAGGGAATCTTATGAAAGAAGTATATCTGGTTTTATGTTGAGATCTTTGATGCACTCAGATTTTACTTTTGTGCAGGGTGATAAATGTGGATCTATTTTCATTTTTATCCATGTAGACATCCAGTTGGATCAGCACCATTTGTTGAGGATGCTGTCTTTTTTCCATTGAATGGTTTTGGCTTCTTTGTAAAAAATCAAGCATTCATAGGTGTTTGTGTTTATTTCTGGGTCTTCTATTTGGATCCATTGATATACCTTTCTGTTTCTATGCCAATACCATGCAATATTTATTACTATGCTCTGTAGTACAGCGTGAGGTCATGGATGGAGATACCTCCAGATAATCTGTTGTTGTACAGGATCATTTTGGAAATTCTGCATTTTTTGTTTCTCCATATGAAGCTGAGAATTTTTCTTTCAAGGTCTGTAAAGAATTGTGTTGGTATTTTGATGGGAATTGCATTGAAACTAGATTGATTTTGGCAGAATGGCCATTTTCACTATGTTAATCCTACCGATCCATGAGCACAGGAGATCTTTCCATCTTCTTATGTCTTCTTTGATTTCTTTCTTCAGAGACCTGAAGTTTTTTCAAACAGGTCTTTCACCTGCGTGGTTAGAGTCACCCCAAGGTACTTTATGTTATTAGTGGCTATTGTGAAGGGTGTTGTTTCCCTGATTTCTTTCTCAGCCCTTTTTTCTTGGGTATGCAGGAGGGCTTCTGATTTTTTTTTTTTTTGAGTTAATTTTGTATCCAGCCAATTTGCTGAAGATGTTTATCAGCTGTAGGAGTTCTCTGGTTGAATTTTTGGGGTCACTCATGTACACTATCATATTGTCTGCTAACAGTGACACTTTGACCTCTTCCTTTCTGATTTGTATCCCCTTGATCTCCTTTAGTTGTCTTATTGCTTTAGCTAGGACTTCAAGTACTATGTTGAAGAGCTATGAAGAGAAGAAGCAGCCTTGCCTTGTCCCTGATTTCAGTGGGATTGATTTAAGTTTCTCTCCATTGAGTTTGATGTTGGCTATAGGCTGTCTGTATATTTCTTTTCAGTATGTTTAGGTATGTGCCTTGTATCCCTAATCTCTCCAAAACTTTAAACATGAATGGGTATTGTATTTTGTCAAATGCTTTTTCAGCATCTAAGAAGATGATGTGGTTTTTCTCCTTCAGTTTGTTTATGTGGTGGATTATATTGATGGATTTCCATATATTGAACACCCTTGCATGTGTGGGATGAAGCCTATTTGGTCATGGTGGATGAGACCTTTTATGTGTTCTTGGATTCGGTTTACAAGTACTTTATTGAGTATTTTTTGCATCAATGTTTATAAGAGAGATAGGTCTGAAGTTCTCTTTTTTTGTTGGGTCTTTGTGTGTTCTAGGTATCAAGGTGACTGTGGCTTCATAGAATGAGTTTGGTAATGTTCCTTCTGTTTTTTGTTTGTTTATTTTGTTTTGTTTTTGAATAGTCTGAAAAGAATTGGAATTAGCACCTCTTAGAAGGTCTGGCAGATTTCTGAGCTGAAACCATCTGGCCCAGGGCTTTTTTCGGAAGGGAGACTGTTGATGACTGCTTCAATTTCTTTGGGGGATATAGGACTATTCAATCTTTCTACCTGATCTTGACTTAATGTTGGTAGATGGAATCTATCAAGAAAATTGTCCATTTCATTTAGATTTTCAAAGTTTGTGGCATATAGGCTTTTGTAGTATGACCTAATGATCGTTTGGATTTCCTTAGTGTCTGTAGTTATGTCCCCCTTTTCATTTCTGATTTTGCTGATTTGGATAGTTTCTCTCTGCCTTTTAGTTAGCTTAGCTAACTATCTTGTTGATTTTCTCAAAGAACCAGCTTTTGGTTTCATTGATTCTTTGAATAGTTTTATTTGTTTCTAATTGATTGATTTCAGCCCTGAGTTTGATTATTTCCAGCCTTCTGCTCCTTTTGGGTGTGTCTGCTTCTTTTTTGTTCTAGGGCTTTCAGGTGAGCCTTTAAGTTGCTTGTATGAGATGTCACAAATTTCTTCTTGAAAGCACTTAGTGCTATGAATTTTCCTTTGAGTACTGCTTTCATTGTGACCCATAAATTTGGGTATGTTGTGCCTTCATTTTCATTGAATTCTAGGAAGTCTTTTATTTCTTTCTTTATTTCATCCTTAACCCAGCTGTCATTGAGTAACAAGTTGTTCCATGTGCGTGCAGGCTTTTTGCTATTTCTATTCTTGTTGAGGTCCAGCTTTAGTCCATGGTAGTCAGATAGAATATAGGGTATTATTTCAATCTTCTTGTATCTGTTGAGGCTTGCTTTGCGACCAACTATATGGTCTTCAGAAGCATTTGTTTCTCATCTGGCATCGAATAAAGTTTAATTACAAGTTGAAAAAAAATTAAAAAAAAAAAGAAAAAATTGAGTGTAGTCTTTACTTCTTCAGAATTGGTACAGAAGTATAGTGTTGCTCATAATGAGTGCTTTTCACAGACACCATGATAATTCTGAGTGGTGTGTCTGCCACACTCTAGAAAATACCATGCTGGACTCTATTGCTCAAAGTAGCCTCAACTTTCCTCAAGAGCTTGCTAAAGTTGTAGAATGATACGTCTGGCCTAGGTCTGCTGAACTGAGTCTTACACTCTTCTGAGACTTAAGTGGCTTGTACACATGGTGGAATTTAGAAAGCACTGCTGTTGCTCCTTCTCAGTGAGAACATTGATGCAGGGACACAATCTTGCCACTGAGAAAGTTTAATCTTTGCTGCAAGATGGCATGTTTGATCCGTGACCTGAGTCTTCTCCAAAACTCTCACACTTTCAGCTTTTCCCCATCAGTTTCACTTAAGGTTGTTTCCTGTCACCTTCGTTTACTCCTTGTTCTTCTAAGTCCTTTCTAGTTCGTTGGCATCATTTTAGTTCACATTGGGTCTTTCTTCAGAACAGTCACTAAGAAATTGTTTGACCTTTTCAGATTTCTTTAAATATACCCCACCTCACCTGCAACTCTAGTGCTCATCTCCACCTTCTTTTCTCTTTTTTCTTCAAATTCTCTTACTTGGGTTAATCATGTTATTCATACTTTCACTAAATGTGCTGATAAATAATCACAAAACATCCAGTTACCAATGATGGCTAAGTAATCATTTACAGCTTTTTAACAAACTATATGAGGAAGGGAAAAATCTGTGCATTTATGAATGACTTATCACTGTATTATCATCTGTGCTGTCCTGATGCTAGGCACCCACAGAGAAGAGGACAGTCTCCATGACATCTAGCAGGGGTTTTGCATATGAACTGTACAGTTCTGTTGTTATGCTAACTACAAACGTGAACTCTGAGTTGTAGTTCTAAGAAAATCTATCAAAGTACTCCACCAAAACATTCTCAATTCATTTTTGCATATTTACCTTTTTATAAAATGTAATGTTTTTATTTATTTATTATCACTGTTACTATCATCATCATCATCATCATCACTGAGAAAGGCACACATGTGCCATGATGTGTATCTGTAGGTGAGAGGACAACTTTGAAGAATTGCTTCTCTTTTCACTATGGGTTGGGGGAATGGAACTTGGATCCTTAGACTGGAACCCCAAACAGTTTTATCACCAGGCCATCTTGTTGGCCCTTACATTCTTTCTTTTGCAGTTCTCAATTCCCTTCTGTTCATGGTCTCCTTTTTCCATTTTACTTTATTTTATTTTGTTTTACTTGCATGTTACTATACTTACTCTTTTCCTTCCCTACTAAAACTGAAAGAAGATATTATATACAATATGGAACTGAGGAACATGCATTTTGCTATTTGAGGGCCTTACTGAAGGTGCTGTTTATCATTAAGTATGCATAAAAGTAGGCATCGAGTGGACACAGTCCTCTAGACATTCCCAAGAAAGTTAACTCTGTGGTGTACACTTTTCACTTCCGTGTAGGATACATCTGAGGATTAAGGGGAATCTCTAAGGAGCAGCCGTATTTCTGTATTGCGGCAGGCTCTCCACATGCAGTATTAACATAGTTCTATGGGTTTACTATTTTTACAATTATTTTAAAAACTTTTCCCAAAGATATTGATGATGTATGTCTACTTACTTTACTAATTTTATAGACTATCCCTTTTATTCAAAAAGATATGATGTGGTAATTTGTAAAGGAATTGGGAATAATTTGGGAAACAGGGAACCCAGAAAAAAACAGGTTCAGTTTCTCTAGAGAAACTGCAAAACAGAAAATAAGCAATAGTTACTGAGGTTCAGTAAAGTACAGAAATTTGGGAGACTGAAGCCGTACCAAAGCATAAACCAGGTGTTTTGGTTCCTACGTGTTCTAGTATGGTTTTCTGTTACCGTGATAAACACATGATCAAAACAATGTGGGGAAGGAAAGCATTTACTTATCCTACGGCCCGTGGAGTGACCGCTGAGTCCTTTCTGTGACTAATCCTTGTCTCAAGTGCTGAGCTTCAGGACAAACCTCAATAAACTTCTTACACACAAATGCGTGCTTCATGAGGAATCTGGTATAAGACGTGCCTTGAAGTGTTCGTGAAAGGTATAAAGTGGCCTTGTATCATCCTTCTCAGTGGATAGCCAGTTGTCTTGTCCACTCATTGAAAGGTTGTTTCTTTCTCTAATGCATTGTAAAATGAGTATAAAAGAAGTGGAAATTTTTGTCTAGATTTATAGCTTTGAGTTCTGTTCTACTAACACATTTATCTATTCTTAGGCAAATGTTACACTTTTTAAATACTCTGAAATTATGATGTGCTGATTTTCTGACAGATTTGTTTTGTCAAATAAAGTATGTTCTTTTAAAAAAAATATATATATATACATGTATGTGATTGTTCTCATTTTGTTAGCAAATTCACTAAAACTGAAGCACTACAGAGAAGATTAGCATGGCCCTCACACAAGGATGATATGCAAATTCTGGAAGCATTCCATATTTTAAAACAAACAAACAAACAAACAAACAAACAAACAAATAAATAATAGTGGGTAATTCTCAGCTTTTTCAATTTTGTGTGTTTTAAAACAAGATTTTGAGGCTTAACAAAATCAATTGTGGTTTTTCTAGGGTTGAATTAATCCATCGTTGTGGTTTTGGGGAGACAGATGGTCTTTTAGTATCAGGCATCCTGATCTATATACATGGCTTATATTTGTACATAGTTAAGTCTTTTTAAATTTCCTTTCAACTCGGTTTTTATAACTGTGTGTGTTGAGCTATCCGACATCTACTAGGGGGGTTGCTCCTAAATATTTCCTAGGTTTATTTTGTTATAAATGTTAAATATTGTAACAGGTTTTAGAGGAGAGCATGTTTTCATGTGACAGGAGGCAGGTGTTCTACAGAGGCCGTTCCGAGCAGACTGTCTCTGAGGACGCAAACTTTGCGCACTGCATCTGTTGTTTGAATGTGAAGCTCATTTTGTCAGATGGACCAGCTGCACTTTGTCTTACAGTTTTAATGTCTGCTAAAACCTTGCTTTTAATGGAATCACGAATCGGATCTGAGACTAGCTAACAAGACTATAAGGGGATAAAGATACCTGTGCTGGACCTGATGACCTTGGCTGGTTACCAAGACCCCATGATGGAGGGAGAGAGCTGACTCCCAAAGGTTGTCCCCTGACGTCCACATATGCCCTTTCCCCCAAACAAACACATGTAGTACAATATTTAAAAAATAAATTTTAGGTTTTGTTTTCATTTGCATACAAAAATATAATTGTTTTTTTTTCCTGTGTTTTGATCTCACATTAACAACTATGATAAACTTGCTCATTATGACTCACTTGTTAAAACTAGTGGTTTCTTTGTAATTCTTTTTTTGTGTGTGTGTGGCCCTAATGCACACAATCATTCATTGTGGATAATAAAGTTTTTAATCTTTATTTTCCAATCATTACCTTCTTTAGTAATGTTGGTGTCAATCTTGTCTTAGTCTTGATCTCAAAAGAAAAATTTTCAAATTTTTACTGCTTAAATGCTGTTGAAATTTGATTTCTATAGATATTTGTGGTGGATAATTTTGTTTGTCCATCTATATTTACTTATCATTTTCCATTTGCTTCCGTGCCTTAAGGCTGATTTATGTGGACATTAATCATATTTTTTGCTCTTGCATTCCAACCGGGTATATTTCCTTTGAAGTACTTTCTTCCTTGGATGAATCTCCTTAGCTGTTCCAGGGTGCAAGCAGACCAGTGGGCCATGTCCACTTGATAAGGGTAAAAGGAGCTTCCTGAAGATGGCTTTAGAAAAATGTAACCGAGACAAACAAACCCGATTATCATTCTCTGGGTATTAGGGAGCTATAAGAACTGCCAAACCATTTTAAAAATTGCTTTTACCTTCTGTAAAGCAAAGGACACTGTTGCCAGAACAAGATGACAGCCGACAGACTGGGAAAGGATCTGCACCGATCCTATATCTGACAGAGGGCTAATATCCAGAATATATAAAGAACTCAAGAAGTTAAAAAGCAACAAAGCAAGCAATCCAATTAAAAAAAACGGGGTAAATAGAGCTAAACAGAGAATTCTCTGTAGAGGAATATAGAATGGCAGAGAAACACTTGAAGAAATGCTCAACATCCTTAGTCATCAGGGAGATGAGTCTTCACCTTATATGCATCAGAATGGCTAAGATAAAAAACTCAAGTGACAATACATGCTGGGGAGGATTTGGAGAAAGGGGAACCCTCCTCCATTGCTGGTGAGAATGTAAACTTGTACAACCACTTTGGAAATCAATTGGGCACTTTCTCAGACAATTAGGAATAGTGCCACCTCAAGATCCAGCTATAACACTCCTAGGCATATATCCAAAAGATGCTCAAGTACACAACAAGGACATTTGTTCAACCATGTTCATAGCAGCTTTATTTGTAATAGCCAGAAGCTGGAAACAACCCAGATGTCCCTCAGTTGAGAAATGGATACAGAAATTGTGGTATATTTACACAATGGACAATGCAGCCAGTCCTGATGAGACCTGATAAGCTAGGGTCAGATGGAAGGAGAGGAAGACCTCCCCTATTAGTGAACTTGGAGAGGGGCTTAGGAGGAGATGAGGGAGGGAGGATGGGATTGGGAAGAAATGAAGGAGGGGGCTACAGCTGTGGTAACAAGTGAATAAACTGTAATTAATATAAAAAGTAAATTAAAAAGGTCTGAAAAATTGCTTTTAGTATTAATGCTATCTTTTTTTTTTTACATTTAAAATAATAAAAATTCTTTCTGATCATTTTCATAAGCAAGGCACTGGGGACGATCAGTTTGACTCCCTAATCAGCAGTTATTGAACTCTCTCTTGCTCCCTGGATTGCCTTGATCAAAAGAACTATCAGTGTAAACGGCCAGCTGGACTACCCTTATGCCAGGACCAGTGTCTGGAATGCTCTGCTGATGCCTTGAAATGATTAAGCAAAAGACTGAAGTAGATTGCCCTGGCTCTTGAAGCCATTGCTCGAGCCAGAGCTGTTAGAAGCAGTTGTACAGCAGACATTTTGCAATCGTAAACCTCAGTGAGCCCTTTTGCCTCCACCAGAGGTGGAGCGAGTCTCCCAGGGTGAGGCTTACTGTGATTGGTGTTAAGGGACAGGCCATGACTGGTCCAAAACACAAGCCTAAAATGACTTTTAAATGCGAGCCTGTGATTGGCCTAAAAAACTGTATAATTGGTCCAACTAAATGGTAATGATTGGTCTGAATACCCCTTTTCAGGCTGTAGAGGCGGTCTGCTTAGGCTCACTGAGACACTTCTGTGTTGTAACGCCAGGTCCAATAAAGACTTCTCCTTCCTTGACTAAGTGTGAGCTGAACTGGTAACAAAGCAAACAAGTAAGCAAGCAAGCTCATTCAGAGGACTTTTTCTTTTTTCATTTTTTAATTAATTAATTCAGTTTAGGCCCCTCCCTCCTCTCCTCCCATATCCCCCTCCTGTATTCCTCAGAATAGGGGAGCCCCCCTACTCATACAGCCCAGCTCATCTAGTCACATGAGGACTGAGTTTGTCTTCCTCTCCTGTGGCCTGGTAGGACAATCCCATCAGGGGGAAGTGATCAAAAAGCAGGCAACATAGTCTATGTCAGAGATATCCCCACTACCCTAAGTAGTGGGCCCGCATGAAGCCTAAAATGCCCCTCTGTTGGTTACTTATATGTAGAGGACCTAGGTCCAGACTATGCATTGTCCTTGGTGGGTGCTTCAGACTCCATAGGCCCCTCAGGGCCCTGCTTGATTGGTTCTGATGGTCAATTCAAACCTCAGTCCAAAACTTACCTCACCTACAAGACCTGCAGGGACTAAGATAGACCAGCTAGAGCAGAGACTGGGGGAATGTCTAACCAATGCCGGGCCCAACCCTAAGACCCACGCCATGGAAGAAAGCCAACCCCTATCACTATTAACAATATCCTGATATGCTTGCAGATAGGAGCCTATCAGAGCGGTCCTCTGAGAGGCTCCACCTAGCACCAGTTTGAAACAGAGACTCAGCCAAACATTGGGCGAAGCACAGGGAGTCTACTGGAAAAGAGGAGGGAAGGATAAATAATGGACCTAGAGGTGACAAAGGCACCACAAGAAGACCACCAGCGGCACTCAGAGAGCTTTAGTGGCAGCTTGCTAGATGAAAAGGTGACCAACTCCACATCAGCTCGATCGCTGAGAATCCCGGATGTGCTTCACAGGTGGACCAGATTCTGCCTGGCCTCACACCCTCAACACTGGGCTCCCTAAGAACCCACTACAAACTCCCAAGTCCTGGGAACGCAGTTCTGAGTACAGAATGTCTGTACGCAGACATTCTGCTGGTAAAGAGGTTCCATCAGCTCTAGAGCTGGGCCAGGGTGCTGGGACACGGCTTCTTGCCACCAGCACTAGGATTTAAGCTCTTGGGTAGCATCCATTTTCCCAGCCCTGGCTTCCACATGCAGAGTGTCAGCAGCCATAGCTTGGTAGCTGAAGATTTGATGATCGACCCCACCTGTTTGACCCTTTCCGTCCTCGAGAATCCAGCCCGAGGGACACGTTTGCACCTGCGTGGTCCTGGACCACACCCAGTACCCAGTCACTAAGCAGCCTCCTACTTGGCTCACACTCCAGCTTCGGAGTGCAGTCCTGACGGAGGCAGGCACCCCAAGTCAGTTCTGCCTCCAGCTACTAAAGAGGTCAGGCGGGCAGCTGCAGGGCAACTGAAGAACCAGCCGCATGGTTGCAGAGCATTAAGGACCGAAAATTAGAGCCTGAAGTTCCTTGTTTCAAGAAGAGCAGTTAAGTCTTCAGGGGCAAGAGTCTCAGGGAGGTGCAGGCTGAAAGCTGTTACGGTAGCTGCTACAGTAGCTGCCAAGGGTCCCCAACATCCTCTGCTTGCATGGAGACTATAACATTTGGGGGTGCCGCTTGCGTGTTGTTTTCCTACTGCTGCTGCTGTCTCCAAACTCACAGGGGGAATGAAAGCTGCTGGAGTCCAGTACTTGAAGCCCTTCCTGTCTCCTCACGATTTCTGTACAAGCAGGGTGAAAGACCCCTGAATTAGCTGATGGCTGATGTACGGAACCCTCTCAGACTTATATCCATATATCCAAGCTTCTAAAAGTCAACGTGTTGCTTTTTTCCCCCTTTACCTTTTACTTACATGTTCTGAATGACACAAAGTGAGGGAGAGGCCACCAACGACTATCTTGAAATATTTCTTAATGATATACACTAGAAATTATACCTTCCTGATGACTGGTAGAGAGATTTGAATCCCTCCTTCACAGAGCTTCATTTTACTTAAAGATAAGCTAGGTATATAATTTTTACATATTATTTGAAAAGTCTTCGTTGTTCCTGTCAGATTTTTAGGCTGATCTTTATCTTATTTTTGCACAAATACATGTATAGTTTTTTTTGCATTTAACTCTTTCAATTGCAAAATAAGATGCTAATGATAATGGC